AGGACAGAAGTGTCCTGGAATAGTTGGTGAGGGAGAGCAAAGTTGTGGGCTGCGCTGCAGAGCACACAGTGGGGTGCAACTTCTACAGCTTATGATATGTCAAGAGCTCAACTGCAACTCATACAGACACATCCATCGGAGCTTTCGCGCAGCTAGAGCTGGGTGCCAGTGAGGCCATGGCAACCTGAAGCACAGAGGCTATGCTGTCATTTTGTATTTGATTCTGATGAACCTTCTGACCCAAAGCTACTGCGTCCAAGTCAAGGCAACCAGGCAGTGCAGGTGTCCGCTGGAAGGTCAGTTTAACCATTGCCATTTATCTGTAGCCAGATTGCTTAGTTTAAACGGCTGGTGAAATGGAGCCAAACTACATATTCAGGAAGATGCTGCTTTGGTGGAGTGGGTGGCAGCAAAAATCAGTGCCAGACCTGACCTCCCCTCTGCTGTCCTTAGTTCCCAAGAAAATAGCAAACACCATCCTAAACTCAGAGGGGTAGAGGTGGATACAAGTAGTTGTCAGTTCCCAGGAAAAGGGAGTACTTAGCCAGATGATGGTAGACAAAAGTCTGTACTCCCAACTGAGCAGAACAAACAGCCAGGCTCCACTCCCTGCTGTTCTTAGCAACCTTCTCAGCTAGGAGAGTTAATTTCTGCTTTCTGATTGAGATCGAAACTCATTTCCCCTCTGCCAAGAGTCTCCATAGGGAAACAGTGCTGCTGCTTCCCAGGAATGGATCACAAGGGGACACTGATGACACTGATTATCAGAGAAATCGCAAATAAAAAAATGGGGTTACACATATCTTATTCTCCTGACTGTAGAGATCCTGACTGATGTAGAGATCAGCAGAGTAGGCTGCTTTGATTCTCTCCTAGTGCTTAAAGGGATGAAATAATCCAGGCTCCAAGCTGCTTTGTAACCCACACTGAACACTGCACCCTGTGTCTGCACTCTTATCAGTAGAGTTGTACATCTTGAATATGCCAACACATATTATCTTCACTTATTTGACTGTTGCACTGTTTCTTTTTGTCTAGGACCAAAATTAATTTTTTTTTTCAAATTCCTTTTCAAATCAAACCAGACATTTCAGAACAGGTCTTCGAAGGTATAGTAATGTTAGAAAAGTTTTGCATGTTAATTTGATGGCTTGGAATCTATGTGTACTCCTTGCAATGTTGAGATATATCAGCTAAATAAATGATTGGAAACCAAAATACTTATATCAAGTGCTTGATATACTGTCATGAAGAATAGATACAAAATGCTGCAAGAATGAAAGAGCATTCCAAATATGGAAGTATCTCTAAATGATCGTATATATGTAGTAGGAGTCTTTAATGTCTTCTACACATTTCTTGGAGGTTTAAACTCAGCAACAGTCCCATAGACTACTGTGTAATAAATGTATTACTTCAGAGTTTTACATTAGTAAACATTTTTTACATATAAATTGATTACAGTAATTCCAATGATCAGTTGGTTTTGATATTAATTCCACTGCCTGTGTGCTGAAGGCCATGGATTGTCAGATCATCATGCCCCTGGTGAATTATACAATGCTCAAAAACACAATAACAAAACCCAAACCCACCCAAACGTCCATATTCTAGGGAATTTGCTATCGGTATGTATGATGAAGAGGTGAATAAAGAATTAGAGATAAAAGTCATTCCTACAGTGAAAAGATGAAGAATTTAATACTAGAAAGATCACACCTAAAACTGCCATCACAAAGTTTCTTACCAGCGTCATAACCCCCATTCTGTCCATCTCCCTGGCTGGACTGCGAGGGGTGAGTTTAGGAGTTGAGTGTCCGCTGGGAGGAGATGAGCTTGCAAGAGACGATGCAGTCACTGAGCCAGTAATGGATGTACCTTGGTGGACCCTGGCCAGATTTAAACCTTCCAGACTCACGCTGGCCACTCTGTTCTCTATCTCTTCAGCACGCAGTTCTGTTGACTCTTTCTCTTCTTGGATTAACCTTATTTAATAAAAAAGAACATGATTGGATTTGTCTCTGCATACCCCAAAAGAAAAACTAAAATGTTTCCTTTCAAATGACATTCAAAAGAAAAAGAAAGCAAACATGAATAGCATAGATCAACTCCAAAATAATATTGAAAAGGGTGTTTTTAATCACCAGAATTACAGAATTATTTTTCTTAATTCCTTCATCCTCAGAAACGGCTTGAAGAATCTGCCCAACAACAAGACTTGACATATGACATTTCAGGAAAACTAGTTCATTTTCAAAGGAGACAATATAGAGGAGGCACGGTTAACAATCCGATTTACCATAGGAAACTAATTCCAGTCTTAAGTTGGCTTCATCTGATTTTCTGTTGCTAAATCACAAACACAAATTTAAAGTCAAATGAAATTGTGTCTTTAAGAAGGGAATTGCTAAAATAATCCATATTAATAAAACAAGAGAACATGTAAAACAATTTGTCTGCTTCATTCCTACAAATTGATTAAAAATGACAGTTGTTTCTAAAGCATTGAGATTTTAAGTGCATTTCATTAAAATAGCTCTCCTGTTAACAACAAATATAAGCTTCTTAAACATATATAGCCTCAATAGGATGCTTCCACTGAGTTCTTTAGTTTTAGTTTTTAATTGTGATTGCACCTAAAGTGATAACGTGTTTAAAATAAAACATTTGTTGATAAGTCCTTTGTCCATAAACCTATGTTAGAAGGAGTCCTTTTTTTTTGTGAAGAGGAGGAAAAAGTATGAAGGATCAAAGTTAAATGAGAGAATATGAAGTCTGGGGAGGCTCAAACTGTGAACCAGGCTTTTCTAAGCAAAATGAAGCAAGTACAATAAACAAAACCATAATACATTGAAAATAGAAACCTACAAATTCCTGTTCTGCGACAAATCTTCTTCCCTAACATTCATTTCAAAATATCTATAAAACGTCTACAGTTCTGAAATGAGGCATAACAGGAACTTAAAGGCAAATAATATTTGAAAGGGAATTATAACAATCTCTTTCATTTTAGTATTCTAAATTCTGAATCATCTTGTGTAATAAAACAAATCTAAGGCAAAATACACTTTTAATCTCTTTTGATATCTCCAATCATTTGATAAACACTTATAGTGTTGTCCAAGAAAAAGAAAAACAAAAAAACAAACCAAGAAAATGTGAAATGCAGTACTATAAGACTATCCTTGAAGAACCCCTTTTCCTGAAACATACAAAAAGAAGAATAACAATTAGTCACCTGGTTGTTTAATAATGACAATCAAGGTAACAAAAACCTATACTTCAGGATAAGTTTACCAGTAGGGGAAATAAACTACTCTCATCAGACCTCGAGTAAAAATGGCTACATGCAATGTGTATTTTTGATTCCTTTTTGAGATAAAACTGTACCTAGCATCTAAGTCAAGATCCTGTGTTAAGTAAAACAGTGATCTGATTCAGGACGGCACAAATAATATCCTACCATGTTACCTGCAGGTATAATTTCTTTTGAAAACTTTTTACTGTATTACATAATTATTTGTTAAATTGTAAAAATGTTAGTATTTTTTTAAATAAATACACTCATTGCATCTACAGCTTCTTGAATTGGTCAGTGTTGATATGGATAAGGTTCTCTATTTTACATACAATGTTTTAAGGAGATTTACCCTCCCAACAATAAAATTTCTCTTTGACTCTTTATCTTGACAGCTGTAATAAGAGATTTTAGAAAATAGCAGAGTAATCCTATCTGAATGAAGAAATTCTGGGAGGAGTAAAAACACAAAGCTGTAGATCTATAACAAAAAGTGTCCCTCGTGAACAGAAAAGTTGTTCAAATCCAATATACTGTGATAGAGTTCTCCCTTTAAAGTTAACTTTCTCAGAGTATGACTGAAATTTGGCAAAAGAAAATCTGGTTTTGATTATATTTTGAACCACAGTCTTTGTGTCTATAGCATTACCAGAAAGTCACTAAAACATTTAGTAATTGCCTCTAGAGAAATAGTCACTAATGAGAGGATAGTTTTCATACACCAAGTTTGTAAAAGTTACCCTTCCTGAAAAACATGTAAGAATGCTTTAAGCCCAAAATATAATTTCATTTATAAAACTCACTTAATTAAAATATGTCATTGGATTCCGTTAAATCGACACAGAAATTATTATGATACATTCAATTCACCACCTATTTCTAAGCACTATAACCCAAACTGGAGCGTGAAAAATCACGTTCTATGCCTCCATAGAAAAATCAAAACCACACATTAGAAAATGTGGTTTATATGAGATGTAACATAGGAATAATTATCAGAAGAAAGCATGAAGAGCAGTGAAATAAAACATTTCTGATAGGAGGTCATTAGTGAGTAAGAGAAATCATTCAGAACAGTGAAAAAGACCTTGAAAAGAGGACTACGAATAGTGATCTGTCAAATTTGTCCTGTATTAGCCTTCTCTAATGTATTTCTCTACAATTGGCCAGCAGTTCTTCAGTGGGAACATTTTTTGAAAGTAATTTCTATGGTTAGGAAATGAAGATACCATTGTTGTTTTCATACAATCATTATTCTCATGTGAAAAGTATACACATTACCAATCCTTCAAATGTCAAAGTGGTTTCCTAATCATTATGAGTGGTACCTCAACTCATGCACTAAAGGAAGCTTGAAGTGGTAATCGTAAGTGCATCACAGCTGGTTCATGCTACATACCTGATTTCTTTATTGATTGCGTCTAGCTGCTCCTGAAGCATCATGGCCAGAGTCTGGGCATCGGAATGGCCGCTTGGTGACAGGAGGTCCATGGAGCTGAAAAGAGTTTCTCTATCGTCGTCATCGATGTCGGACATTTCAGTGTCACTTTCAAATGGATGGCTGCTCAAAACGCCAATCTGCTGAGTCCTATTCCACTCATGATCTCCAAGTGATTTTACCTGAGCAGGAATTAGGATGTACATGGTTTATTCCATGGAAAACAACTGCAAAGTCGAACTTCTATAAAGTGGGAAAGGAAATCAACTAACGTTTAAGAATACTTATTCAATAAATAATTCACCATGAATACTTGCAATATTACCAGAGATGATGTAAAGTATTTTCACATAATTTCTAATGCTGTGTAAAATTAACTACCAGGAAAATTTACACAAAAATATACCCAGAAAAGACAGAGTCAAGTATACTTGAACTTTGATACCTGAACTTCAACTTTTCTGCCTTCATTTTAGTACAACAGTACTCTTGTCTGAGTATGTATATAAAAAACCCCTCCGCTATTTGGGTTTTTTGTTTGGTGTGTTTTTTTTTTTTTTTCCTGGAAATACACAAACCGTAAGCTTAAGAGCCTGAAAGACATTCTCTTATCAGGTAATAGATGAGAAGAAATTGGGGATTAACCTTTGGTTCATCTCTGCGTACACCCATCCGGCCTCTTCTAGGTCGCCTTATCACTTTAGTTGACCGATAGTCAGACTGGCTATCAACCAGCGAGCCCACAGAATACCTCAGCTCTGCTGATGTGTCAAGGTGAGGCCTACAAAAAGAGCCACAGAAGTAGACTAAGAGATCAATAGTAATAATAACAGCAACAATCCAGTGACCTTCCGCCTACGAGCACAGATATATTTTTTTTAAACAAACAAATTATTGTGTATCAGAATAAATGACAAAAACATGGTACAAAATATAATTTAAAAGCAAAACCTTAAAATAATATTAAGGAAAAAAAGCATGAATAAAATCTCTGATTTTTCAAAAGGAAGGATTTGCATAGTAAAATTCAGCATCCAAAACTATAATATGAAAAAACAAGCAGATTTCAGGACAAGATAATTAACAGAACTGGCTGCTGAATGTGCTATCGTGTAGAATTTCCTTCCATTACTTTCCTGAATAAATATGCCTGAGGTTACTGTAAGCATGTTAACATGTTCACGAGTGAGAATATCTATAACTTTCCTACTGTAAGTCTGTGCTCCGAATTATAAAAATGCTAGCGAACTGCCCTGTGATTGTGAAATGTCACAACATCGATTATGAATGATTCATGTTTATTTAATGATGCTTTTGAGAATTTTAACCCCCGTTTTATCCTGTTGTCCTGCTAAGTCTTGGGACATTGTGGAGAGGCATACACATGATGACGTCAGCATATCTTTTCTTGGCTGCATGCAATGGTCCCCAGCCTTTCTGTCTTTGGTCAAACACCAGCAGTAAAAGTTCCCTGGATGCTGCAATAGAAGCATCCTGCCCATGGGCTCTGTAGTCAAGTCAGAAGAGCAAAGGCTCCGTGCACCATTTGAGCATTTAGCCACAGCAGTGGAGACCTGAACAATTTATGTTTCTTAGCACATAAGCAATCTCCATATAAAAATATATGAATAGCATAAATACAGTAGAAAAATGAAATGTAACAAATACTATACTAATAAGACACTAAATATGTATTTGTTTATAGCGACTCCTAAAAAAGGTTTGGCATTTCACTATCTGTAAGAGTATAAAATGAGAGTTTAATGTTGTATCAATTTATTTTTTTTTTAACTTGGAAAAAAAGCTTAAGTCACCTACAGACAATGTATAGAGTTCACAGCAATGTTAATAATCAGTTACAGGAAACAGAAGAGAAATAAGTTTTGTTCTTAAACACTTCTCTTACTTGCTGTTCAAGAAAATAATGGCTTTAATCCAAGGCATAAAAAAGCTAAGTAAGAGAATGTCTGCTTTCCAAAATGAAGGAAATAATTCAGAAAATCATGTATATCTATGCTGAAAACTGCAGTCTGTAAGCATGACTGTTTTCCTGAGATCTAGTTCTGCATCTTTTTCTAAACATAGAGATTCACTTTTCCTTGAGAAAAACTTAATTTGAATTAAAACATACTTATACGTGGAAGACTGAAGCATTGGACTAAAATTTCAAACATCACTTTAATGAAATAAAAGTGATAGATAAAATATTGTAACTGTGATGTCTCTATATTGATAAGTGGGAAATGCAAAAACATGATAAACGTAAAAGTCTCTACTACAAGCTACTTTGGCAGAGCGGCATGAAGAAACATAATTATGGTCTGGTATTATAAGCACTGCGACAAAACTAAAATAATAATGGAAGGATTTCAAGAACTAACACAGTTTGTTTAATAGAAAATAAATACTTTAAGAAAATGAATAAAAAACGAGGTACCAGAATTCCTGAAATGTAAGTATGTGCCATAGTAATCAAATCAGATACATAAAAATGTCACAGATACTGCATAACGTTTTAGAATTTAGATTTTGGGTAGAGTATACATCAGAGCTCATGCTGTTATCATAAATGTCCTTTTCTGAACAACTACCAGTTTATCTTCTCTTACACTTTCATCATGCCCAGTAGGAGCTTCCATAATATGAGAAAAATTATGATTTTACCTTTTAAAAAATTATTTTACCTTTAAAAAATTCTCTAAGTTTTTTTTTTAAAATAAAAAACTCACTTTTTTCATTATACCAGTAAGAAAACTCGACAACAGTTAGGGTACAAATGTCCTAAGCCCTCCATCTACAGCACCAGACAATCTTTTGGGTTTTTGTATGTTTAATTTGTCTGTATGTCTTTCATCTGTTATATAGTAAACCATTTAGAGCAGTGCCTGTATTTTCTGTGTTTGCACGATATTGCTCTGATAATTTATAGTACTTGGTAGTTGGGCAGCAAGTTGGCAAGAAAAAAGAAACAGCCCAGGTTGGTTCCAGTCTCTGGTAGCAAATACCTGTCTGTTGAAAGAACAAACTCTTGCAAATGCAGAACTGAATATGTGCTTAGAAGAAGTAATTAATGCTGATATCTCTCTATTTCTGAGATGGCTGGTAGCTTCACAAGGTGAGATCATGGAAGGGGAAGTATACTGTTTAGGAGGAACCTGATGAATTCCCGACGTTTAGACAGCTTATCAAACAGCCCTTTGAAAAGGGCTAATCAGACTCGTATTTACAGAGCACAAGCTCATGATACTCATCTACCCAGCAAGAAAGGCTGCTGCTCACCAAGGATGGTTGCTCCAAAAACATCTCTGCTGTTTGTTGCAGCAGCTCAGTAGTCTGTATCCTTGCAAGCACTCTCAAAAAAAGTGTGGTGTGTGTCTGTAGTCACACTCACAGAGGAACAAAGATTCAAACGGTTACACGCATCAGATTCTGAATTTGATTGATTTACACTTTTCCATGTATAGAAAAACATTATTCCAAGAGATAGTACAGGGTTGAGGCAGAAACCATGCCCGAGTACCAAGTCTGAGGAAACAATAGGAAGACAGTACCTGATGTAAGCAAAAAAATTATCCAACAAGAATAACTTCAGAGAATTACAGTGCTCTGAATTCAGTCTTGGTCCATGAGCTTTGGCTGGCAGATTTTAAAAGTTAACGTGTTGCTTGTTATGAAAAGAGGACATGGCATACAAGTATCAATAAAGTAACAATTTTATTTTGAAGGGTGCTTTTAGGAAAGAAGCTGTTCAGAGTTATTTCTGTGGTATCTGCCTTACTATTATTCCCATATTGCTTTTCTGCCAAAAAGAAGCACAATGTTTAACGTCCTATTAGGATATTGTCAGATTTCTCTGAATACTGCCTTCATCTTTAGCTGAAGATCTGTGGTCTTGTCTTACATACTAAGCAAAGCTGAGTTATTTCTTTCTAATAAAAAAAAAAATCTAATTTATAGAATAAATAAATATTATCATAAATATGCTGATTAGTTCAGCATTAAAGATGATGGTTTCAACTTTATTATTAAGCTCTCCTGCAAAAAATATAGGTATTTGGATATAGTTTTGAAAACATTCCAAAATTTAAAAGACTTTCCTTAATCTCAGTAATATTTCAGTGTATCCTTACTGCTACAGGGCCCCATCTACATATGAAAAAAGTGAAAAGCAACAGCAATAATCATTGCACAGATCTTATCTTTTTAAAGAAATACATGATATTTTTGTGTGTGGTCTGAACACATCCGTGTTGTAAAGGCTTGACACATATATTTATTTCAACTCAAAGTGAGGAAACTTTTGTCATTAAACATTACCTTGACAACGTGGGTTCAATTAAAGAACCAGCCCTCAATTTCATTTGATCCAGTTCAGATCTCAGTTTCTCAATTTCTTCAGCAAGTCTTTCCTGGAAACAAGAATAGTAAGAAATAGTAAGATATTGCTCTCGTAAAGCTAAACAAGTAAGATAAACTGAATGTAACCCTATAAGAAAAGGCAGTGAACTTGTTCAAGTCTCATTATTGCTAATAAGACATGCATCAAGAGGAGGTTGTACAGCACTTTTCAGCGTTTTTGCACTAGGTGGAAGCGATGGCAGGACAGGTTTGTACTGAAACTTACTTTCTTCTTACATAGCTAGGCTCAGGAAAAGAAGGAGCACTGATTTGGGCACTAACTGCACTCTTCGTGTCAGGTATAGCTCAGCGTGCCCTTTAGAGACAGAGAATGTGTCCTGGCCTTTTCATTTACAAATAGAGACAGAGACTTAGAGGCAACCACGTTTTAGGTGCTTTACGGAACTGCAGGTTTACAGTTCACTCTTGAGAGTTGATGGAACTCCAGTGTGAGGTGCTGCTGGTGAAGAATGACAGTGCCAGAAAAACTGGATTTTTGGAACCAACAAACAAAAAGACTATTGACAGCAACCACTAGGGGAAACAGTGCTGTTCCCAAATTCTACAAATAAAAATAGTCTCCTAAGAAAATGAAAAGAAATCAAAGAATTTTAAAACAAAGAGAGAACACAGGATGAAGATGTAACACTGCTGTTCCTACAGTTTAAAGCATTCAGGATTTCAAAATGCTAGGAAAGAAAGGGATCTGTTCTTAATTACTATCAGATTAAGTATATTTTATTACAGTATTTTTATGCTAATTCTTCATTGAATAGAATTATTGAGATGACTTGGTGGTAACTCTACTTGTATCATTTGCTAGTTACTTAGACATTATTAATATCTGCTGTCCATCTATCTGAAATTGCTTCATCAGTTTCTTTATCAAAGTGAAACAAATAAACCCTTCGAAGTGGGAACTTTGATGCTCTGGAGTCAAGATATATGTGGTTGTGTATGAAGACGACTCGTCTTCGGTTGCACAGAACGGTAGTGGAGGTGTTCTATTTATTTCATTTCCCATCCTTGAGCAAGAATTAATACATAAAAATATCTTTGTAAAAATACCTTTGATATAAATGTAGATATTTATATCAGATTTTTCATCTTTCTCAAGAGTTGATATGCACATTCAAGCCAGAAAACAGACTGAAAAAGAATTAGCCACCGCATTCACTTCCACTCTAACACTATTAAAACAATAAAGTTATGCTGGAGATAACATAACCAAGGAAAATACCTTATTTACGCAGACAAAATTGACGTCCATAATTGAGGTTTAGATTCTCTGGTAGCAAAATGATAGAAACTTTTTTTTCAATTGACACAGCTTTAGAAATGTCCTTTTTGCCATCTAACATAAGGGCAAAGTACGATTCTGATTTTGTGACAGCTGAACTGCCTTATAACTGTGGTAGTACAGCGCAAAAATTTTATTTATTTAAAATGTCTTGCAAGCTCCTTTTTGGGACTTTAATCTCTCTGCCTTTCTACAAGGTTAACCAAATGTAGATGAAGATAACTTATTTGAACAGATACTTCTTTTGTTATTTTTCTTAAAGTTCTTGATTTCGGATGTCATATGATACGATTATATTAGCATCGAATGGAGCTATGTTTTTATAAAATCTCTTTTAAATGGATTTGATACATTACAAAAACACTTGTATGAATCTGAAAGCAGATATGTTTGTGTCCTACTGTGCTCAAGGCAAGCATAACTTCAAAACAAATTCGTAACATTTGTGATGGGAAAAAATATTTGTAATTAATTTGACTGATTCACTAAACAATATTAGGGGTTAATTTGCAATGAACTAGGAAAGGCCACTTCCAGCTATATTTAGTGTAATGCCACTGGACCTGTTAAGAAGAATTGCATCAAATCAAGCAATTACATTCTTCACTATGAAAGTGTAACCAGTTATGCATACATCTCTGTTAAACAAGAGTTTTTCAGGATTAAAACTGATAGAACAAAAATTCCAGAGCCAGTGAAATCAATACGAATTTTAGTATTGCCTTCCTGAGGCTAGGATCTCAACCATAAACTTAGCTAAGAACAACTGTTAGAGACCCTCAAAGGCTAGTAAAGACATCTGGGTGATTAAAGGAATTATCACTGATGCCAGGAAGATTTCACATGCTAGTTGCATAATTAATATACCATATACATATTTCCAAATAATAAATACATAACTACTGATAAAAACAGATGAAATTGCAGTATTTTATAGTACCTTGTCATGTAAAGATTCTTCCAGATTTTTCCTGAAACTTTCAGATTCTTGAATCAAAACGTTCTAGAAATAGAAATAAAAATAAAATATAGATAAAACAGAAAGAAATTAGGGATATGTTAAGTGTCAGATGTCATCATAAACATGCAACCTCCATGTACAACTTACTAAAGCTGAGTAACAAATGGCCCTTCATATTCACTGGACTTCAAAATTAAAATCCTTTAATGCTTCAGTTTGAGTATATTTTAAATTTTAAACACTGGAAATAATCCAAACATCTAGGACCATGTTTCCTCATGAACAGCAAAACCTTTGCATTCTCCTCCAACTAAGCAACTGTCACACTCTTACACAAATATTTCTCCCAGGTTCTTCTTTTGGCAGGTCTATTTCTTGCTTTTTACAATATTTTGTTTCAATGATATAAACCAGAAATACATCCTCTGAAAGGTTCTGAAATGTTCTCTGAAAGACACTGAAAGATTCCCCTCAGATCAAACCAAAGGTGAATAAATAGAAGAGGGAGGGATTAAAGAGGGTGAATATAAAGGTCATGGGATTTGAATTTTGCAGTCCCACTGTTTCTCACATCACAGAAAATCTTGAAATAACATTCCCTCTGCAAGGGTAGATGGTCCTTCTCCTGTGCTGACAGCATTTTACTCTTCCGAGAGGAAGTTATATAAAATCGGCAGGGGAATGACAGCACATCCAAAACTTAGTGATTCCTCAGTTCTCGTCCACTTTCTCTCACTGCCTCACACCATGTTGTGCACTGGTCCTTTACAAGCTCTTCATCAGACACTCCGCTGATAAAACAGGGAGTCACGACATTCAGCATATCCAGTTCATAGCAATTCTGGAAAGATTCTTGAGCGCACTCTTGAATAAAGAGTTGAATGCATAAGTTAGACCATATTTGTGGCAATATTTGTTAATACAAAATCAGCATGATACCTCCATCCCAATAAAAGTAGAACAGGTTTCACATAAGAGAATCTTTATTAAGTTGAACTTTACACCACCCTTTGCACTGTACCTTTTCTTCCAGTGCTGCCATTCTCTCTTTTAAATGTAGCTGCAGACGCTCATTGGATTCTGTCAAAAGTCTGTCTACAGTATCCGATAATCTTTTGTTGTGCTCCTCATTCATTTTTTCTCTTTGTCTTGCCTTTAATATAGAATAGAAGCGACAGATTGGTAGGGTCCAAAATTAACCAGTACAGACTTGTATCATCAAAAAAAAAAAAAAAATTATGGTAACTGTAGCCATTTAAAGAAAAACATAATTACAATTATTGATTAATGCACATTCATTTTTTTATCAGCAGAATACTCTGAAAGCTGCAACTAGGCGTAAACTAGTATATTAAGGTGGTTAAATAAACTGGGAAGATGCTGCTGTCACTGCTATAAATAAAGTATTTACCAGTAGATAGATTTGTGTGCTGGAGTGCATAATGTAGTGCTATATTGACAAATTAAAAGAAGAAAAGTGCACAGAAGTTGTCTGCAATACACATACTCTTTGAAGTTCCTGATTCTTCTCTTCAAGTTGAGCTTCTAAGTGTCTCATACGCTCCTCAATGTTTCCATGTCTTTCTTCTGCCTGTAAAAAAATAGAAACTCTTTCTGTAATTTAAGTGGCTTTATAAGTCTTTATTTCAGTAAAGTTTAAACAAAACATAAAGCAAGCTACTACTAACTGCAAACTTAGTTTTCCGAAAATAAACTTTATTTAAACAGGCAGCTGAACAGCATTGCTTGAAATGTGTCAGCTACAAAGGCCTGTTACATCCAAGCATCAGCAAAACATTGGAGTTATTTATGAGCAATGAAATCAGCCAAATGTAACATGCAGACTGTGCATGGTTTGAACACAAACCTGCCATCGTAAAATTGTAAGCTCCTGAAGCACTGAACTGCACGATGGTTGATTATCAATAAAAAAAATAAAATAAGTTAAAGAAAATGAAAACAAATCGGATGGATTCTATTTAGCAATAGAAAGTAAAGTCCAGTAGGACTACCTTCCTACGTATGGAGATCATTTCTTGTAGTTTAGCTTCCATAACATATTGATAATCATCAGATGAGGTAGAAGAGGTTGGATCAGACTAACAAGTCAAGGAAAAGGAGAGGGACAAAATTGAAAAATCAGAACTAAAGACACTAACACTGAACAGAACACAGCACAGAATGCTTAAAAGAAAAGCGTGACTGAAAATTTAGTATTTTTAACTGACAGATTTTTACGTGGAATAAACTACACTGATACTTGATGAACGTGATGCAGTTGATGTAGAGAAACTGAAAATAATGGAATGCTAAAAAAGCTACCAACCTACACATGGAAGTTCAAGGTTAGTGATGGCTGGCTGATGACATATTACTACAGAGTGGATTCAAAGCAATACTGTCTAATCTAATGTGGTTTTTTTTTGAATTATGGCAAACTAAACACCAGAACAGGACTCCGCAAGGCCAATGTCAAAAAGTCCTTTATACTTCTATCATTTTCTAGGAATGAAAACAATGTATAAATACTAAATTAATGGACTGGTCAGTTATAGAACTATGCAATGTTATGGTATATTCCCTAATTTCTAGAATACAGAAAGAATGTCAAAAGACACAAGGCTCAAGCTTTAGTATTCCATTTTAGAATACACCACATAAGTCCTTTCATTCAAATAAACAATATCGTTTTCATCCCTTTGAAAGGATCCACCCTGGTGGATCTCTTTGGAAGATCAAGGTCATCAGATAAAAGAACCACCTATAAATAAAAATTCATTAATAGGAATGAAAAGGCATTACTAAGTATAAAAATGGTAATCCATTCAAAGATTTCGTACTACTACTGACAGAAGTTGACCTTAATTAGGTCATTTGTTGCAAAACATGAATATTCATGTCATTATCCTATCAAACACATGTATGTTATTATTCAAAATGAAAAAAAAAGAACAACCACCTTAAAGAAAGAGAAATGCTATAATGGACTTGTTGCTATGGAAACAGGAATGTGCATAAGGCGTATAGACAGTGCTACTGACGACTTTGAGTTGTGAGCTTGTGTTTGTCAAAGGCTATTTCACTCTGTCAGATTTACCCTCTCTCAAGAGATCCTGAACTCCATCTTTAGATGAGAAAATTTTAATATGCACAAGAAATACTAATTTTACAACTGTATTTTTTTTAGTGACATTGTTTTTTACTGTTGTCTACTAATGATTTATCAGAATAATTAGGAATAGATACAAAAGTAACTCCAGATGTACATCGTATGTTAAAATTACCCATGTTACACTCAGTAGTATTATCAGGATCAAAAGATCAGACAGAAAACAAGCCTGTGATCTAGAGATTTATAAATATAAACTGCAGCTTTTGATATGAAGACATTCATATGAGAAAATCCTGCTTTGTATAAATACAAGAATAATGCTTAACGTTGAAGATCACTACTATTCTTTTAGAGTAAGTATATTCACAAAACTCAGATTCTTGCAAAATTTAAGGAGAAGTCAGTAAACTTTGTAACTAAGCTCATTAAACAAGTGCACTTACTGTTTCTGATCATGAAGCAGGCTTATTGTGATGTATTTGAGCTTATTCATTAACTGAAACTATTTTGTCTATTTATTACAACTTGGACCAGTAACAATCCCTTTACAATTTTCTTTATCTTATCTTTTAGTTTTACATATTTCTTTCAGCACACAAGTGCTAATGCACGGCTTTCTCTCCCAATTGGATAAATAGGAAGATAGGACTGAAAAAGTTCAGTCCCTGTGACTGCAGAAAACCAGACCATGCTATTCCTCCCACGAAGTTACCAAGCTTTATCCTCTTCTATGAAAGATAGACTTTTCTGCTTTTTAAGTCCTGGCTACAGCATTGGTTCAAGGCCTTCCTTTAAAGTGTCTCCAAGGGCCAGGAGAAGATTTGAAGTCATCAAACCTCTGAGCTGATGATGGAGAAGACTTAAGAAATTCTACCTCTTTTGAAACCATTTTTTTTGAGGGAGATATAGAACCCATTGAGGGTATCATCCTACAAAATTAAACTTCTTAGAAGCTTCATTAGCTGACTGTAAACCTTAAAAGCAAATTACTTAATCTTCACTGCTTCCATACACTTAATTGCAGGTTGATGCAAAGTATGAAGATAACCAAACTAATACTTCTGAGTTCAAAGGGGATCTCATTTAAGTCTTTAGATATGTGGTGCTGTCTGTCATAACCTGTCCTTGAGAAGCCAGTCTAGCTCGCTATATCATTCACACTTATTTTTCAAATTGAAAAATAGATTTTCAGTCCAAACCATACCATACCTTATTCCTTAGCAGGAAACAGTCTTTTCAATGTATAAAATAATTGTGGTATTAAGCCTAGCTATTATTTGGAAGAGGAGGAGGAATAAAATTATTGTCAGAATTATGTTATCTGAATGCTTATATAGAAATCATTATTGAAAGAACATGATTAAGTTTTTAAGATTCTTAGAGCTATCTAATTCTGCTATTTCATAAATTCCTACTGCTTTAATAATTCAGCAAGTTTTGTCTTTATAATAGATATAAATGCTTTGCATGATAGTTTTATTTCATTAAGAATATTAAAGTGTTGGTAGGTACACACTTGTTAAAAAACCTTCCTGAACATGGCTCAGAGTACCCGTACTTCATTTTCCAGCATAAAAGAAAACAGAGCTGATCTCCAAACTCATCTACCTTTACATATCTTTGGTAGGATAAAGAGACTTTAAAATTAATTAAAATTCAATATGCATTGGAATAAAAAGAAATGTCATTATTCTAAACGCTTAAAATGTATTTGAATATTTTATATATCCTTTATCTTTTTGCATTTCATTTGCTTGTTCCTAAAGTATTGTTCTGTATTATTCTGAAAGAACTACATTATCTTAGAACTCAGACATTAAACAAGTAAGGTCCACTGCTTGTCTGGCAGAGAACAAGTACTGGTGCACAGCCTTAGCACCTACCCTGGGCTCTAATGCTATTTAGGGATTTTAACCACTGGTTCTTATGCACCATATGCATGAGCAGGGACATGAATCAAGAGTGTCCTCTGTAAGGGCTAAGCAGACACAAACACATTGCTTTTTTCTCTCGCTTGCAGAAACCCACCTGTAGACAGAGCTGCAGTAGGAAAGAGCAGCCCCTCCATCTCCTGGTGTGCCTATCTGGAACACACTCCCAAAATGAGAGTTTCAACACCTCTCATTGCCCTTTACCCTGAGGAAGGCCCCAACCTAGGTCTCAAAGAGATCCTTGCAGACAGAAAGGCCTAGCAATTCAGTTATTTCCTAAGGGATTTGCAAATGGCTCCTGCGCAGACTTCCCCAGGCCATATTGTTAGGACTGACACGTCTGTGATAGCTACACTGTTTTGTTCTCCATGTGAGTTAGTCAGCTCCAGACACTCTGTTTGGAATAGGCTCTTTGGGAGGCTATTGAATGCCTCCATCTCTGTCTTGCGGTTTGAGGCCTGAGGCAGAGGCTGAGACACCAGTGTTAGTCATGGTGCCATAGCAGAATTTCAGATACACATGAGACAGAAGGGACGATTGTGGACTTTGAGGTTCATAAACAGAAGTTGGATTTCTTCTGACCTATTTTGCTAAGAGTTAATTGAGTTGAAAACTTTCTAAAGTGGAACTTGCGTGACTACTCGATTGGCAGACCTTACCCTACGTTCTTCTTTTTAATGTATGACTTGCGTGCCTGTCTGCTAGTAGTCTGTACAGGAGATTAGTAAGACACGTGGTGCAGTATTCATCAACTAGCATCTAAAGCATTTAGCCAGCACATTCGGTTATAGATAGATTTATGAAATTGTGTATGAGACTGGATTAAAAATATATATGGAGAAAAACTAACAATGTCTGACCCCTAGGAGATACCAGCATGAGACTTAATGCTCACTTTGCACTCTATATGCTATGAAATAGCAAAGAAATAGCCAGCAACAGACAGAAAAATTTTGCTTTGAGGGAATACCGAAGCAGCTTGTATTATTGCTCTCTAACCCTGTTAAAACTTCGCTGCTGCTCCTGCTGCTAATGCGCCCACAAAAAAGATGTTGCTTTCACATCATCTGTTACTGTTGGCACTGCACATTTTCTAGGTCTTTGCATCTTAGCTGAAAAAATCCAATTTCAGATGCAGAAAGCACCTGTATAGTACAGGTGCTATCATTTTTCTTCCTCATGCTGACCTGCAGGAACAAATCTAAACTTTTCTAAAGGTACAAGCCAATTTCCACAGTTTTGAGACCTTGACTTTTGAACACCTGCTGTCTCCAGATTTTCTGCTGGCTTCTTATGGCACATATTCCTTTGGCTACCCTTTGAATGAATGAGTTATTCAAGAAAAAAGACTGCATTATTGAATTGAGCTACACAATTGAAGGTGAAAATAGGTGATCATGGTGACTGAGTCGCAACAGTTCACAAAGTTATCAGCTACTTGTTCACATGCTCACTTCCAACCTGTTAAAAATATCACAAAATATGTTGGCTTAAGTCACCTATTTTTCTGAAACCCAATCTTTCAGTCACTAGATATCCACACAGTCTTGCCTCTTTTTCATTCCCACACTACCTTCTACATCTTGTGGGTGTAGTAAGCAACTCCTTCCATTTAGCTCTGTCAAACTTCCTTCTTTCATTTTTTTCTTCCTATCAGGAGAAAAACTTCTGTGGAATGGGAAGCACAAGAAGAGGGGTGGTTTGAGAAGACAGTAAAGTGTTGTAAATGTGGGGTTTTCTTAGGTTTCCTTCACCTTAGAAGATTTTATCTTTTTTCCTTTATTTTTTTTCAAAAAGATTTATCAACTTCCCTTTCCAGCTAACCTGTCACCTTTTCTCTCTTTCTTTCTTGTTCTCAGAGAGGATTCTGTCTTAACCACATCCACTTCTTGCAGGAGAACTTCTTTCCCCTCTTTGCATCCTTTCCATTGCAGACCTTCTCCTTTCACTTTCTTGCAACTACCTCCCTACTTAATAATGCAAACCAGATCCCCACATCGTCACAAATCGAGCATTGTGTCCCATTTGCCTCCAACTTTCAAGTAATTTTCTATCACCTCTAAAATAAGCTGAATGTGTTACTATGCTAAATGTGGTTTACTATGATTATAGAATGGTTTGAGTTGGAAGGGAGCTCAAAGATCATCTAGTTTCAACTTTCCTGCCATGGGCAGAAACACCTTCCACTAGATCAGGTTGCTCAAAGCCTCATCCAACCTGACCTTGAAGACCTCCAGGGATGGAGCAGCCACAATATCTCTGGGTAACCTGTTCCAGTGTTTTGCCACTCTCATTGTAAAAAATTTCTTCCTTAGATCTAATCAAAATCTACCCTCTTTCAGTTTAAAGCTATTGCTCCTTTTCCTATCATTACATACTTTTGTAAAAAGTCCCTCTCCAATTACCCTCTTCATAAACCAATTATGGTTTCCTCTTCTCTATGTCAGTGCTTCTCTAATGCAGCTAAAAATCACTATTAGTATTTCTGGTGACCTGCATACAGGAAGGATGGAGTAAAATGCTGACTGCTGTCTTGTGATCAGAGAAGTGACATGATACCTCTGTTGCACAAGCACCTGAGGAGGAGAGTGGCTACTAGCGAGAGTGAGTGAATGGAAGTAGGTGGATGCTGGTTGTCTCCACTAGATCTCTCCTTGAATACATTCAAGGAGAAACTGTGTTTGACAGACTAACCATCTGAAGATTCTAGGTACTCCAACGTCTGTCCATTTTGAGGAAAATAAACATCTTACAGAAAGAAAGGTTTAGTTAATATCAAAGGGAGGTTCTACTACCAACTGCCTCTTCTCCAGGGCAGGCAAACAGACCAATACTGTGAGAGCGAGTACAAGGTGGCTCAATGAGTCATGGCAATCTAAACCTTGGGATACATGCTGAGAGCTGTGCTACTTGTCATGACCAGACAGATATCGGTGTGACGGCCAGGCAGGACAGCACAGTACATGGGATCATGCTGTTCCAGGTTAGTCTACCACAGGCTGACTAACCCTCCAGTTGCTCACCCAATGGGCAGAACACAGTGAAAACAAAGCCAAAGAAATGTTCAAATGATTCAGGTAAATTTATGGGTACTTATCTGAGTTCACTGTATAGTCCAAACTTTTGGAAGTTCACTCCTTATGAACTAGTTTGGGCATGGAAAAGTAGCAAAAGACATTCACTAGCCCGTAGATATAAAAAAGAAAAATAACTCATTTTAAAAATTAACAGCGTAGAAGGATCTCATTCTACATCCTTCTTTCGCAGAATCCCAACCCAGATTTGTTATGAGGAAGAGTATAATAAATTGAATGTAGAATTGTAACATGCATATTTTAAAGTTGAGGGGAAAAAGTAATTAAAGAGACATCACGCTCAAATCCAGAATGTTTGTTCTGCTTTAACTCCACATGTAAATAATCGGTCTTATATTTTACCCACAGTGAAGCAATCATTGTTTCCAGTCATCTCATACTATTTTCCTTTAAAGAAACACGTAAAACATATTAGGCTTAACTCACCTCTTTCATATGATTGTAACCCCATGAATCTCAGAGAAGCCACTTTCATTGAGGTTGTACAAAAGAAAGGCGAATCAGTTTTGACTTTTTTGCAGTGCAGAAACACTAGCTGATTCAGAGGGCTCATCTTTTACTTAGTATACATGGACATTGCAGTGATCATAGCTCAGGTAGACAGATTTAAGGTAGTCCGAAGCCAACTAATTTGAGCCCTACTGAAAACGTGTGCATTGGCACAAAACTCAGCAAAGGCAAAAAGCATTATTCAGCCCCTTAGGTAGGTCTTGCAGCTTTCATTGAATAGCTAGTATGGTAACAGTATACCAGCTAGCTAATTTGAAACTACGTAAGTAAGCTGCAGTGACTACAGTGTCGTCATCAGTTCTGAGCTACATTTATGTGATCCATGGAAAGTACTGGACTTTAAACTTCAGAGCTGTCAAACCAGCACTTTAATAAGCTCTACAGTTTGCAAAGACATTACATACAAGATATGTAAAACACAGGCTTATTTGGCATATTGGCCAAATTCTGATATTCTTCACATCGTGTATTCCAAAAAGACAGTTTTAAGTAAAGTTAATTTCTTCATACAAACTTAGAATTTCTCACTTAGCCAAATCTTTGATAAAGTACATCGAAGTTAAATGGAGTGGAGCGTCAGCTCAGTTTGCAGCTCTCTCATCACATCCCATGAAATAGTGTAAGACGACAAACAGAGATGTATAGTGCAGCTTTATGGTCACAATAACAACAGTATCTCATGGAAGCCCCTGAGTGCTCTGCATGGTTGAAATGGGATTTCTTCTTACAATATTTGTCATTAACATATGTTCAAGGAAAAATGCAGTTGCAAGAAAAGACATGCTTGAGACTGCAAAATACTTACTGGCATCTAATTGTTGGAGAAATTATTCAGGAAAAATCCTCTTAAAATAGAAAGCAATATTTTTAAGCTACTGAGGGAATTGCAATATATTATTATTTGTTGAATCAGAAACAACGGGGGGAAAAAAGTTAAAATGCTAAGGGATTGCTCTTATGTTCACCTGAGATTTTATTAAAATGCAATGATATTTGTTTGTTATTTTGTGTAGCTCTGTTTTTGCTGATTCTTCTTTTTTTTTCCACCATTTTCAGTTTCTCTTTCAAATTCCCACCCATTCATATAAACCTAGAGTGGACAGCACAAAATCTTGATTACTGAATAATGATCTTGTCTTAATAAAATATAAAAAAAAAACACCCAATGATCAAATACCCAAAAAGCTTCTCTTTCTTTCTACTTCTTAACTAAATTACTTAAAAATTAGACGTCAGTAGCAAGCTGCTCAGCACTTAAGGCTTCAATATAAATGGAAAAACAAGAGAACTGGAAAAAATCCATCAAATAGAAAAATGGCTAGGAACATAAATAGCTAGAAACATTCCTTGGCAATAGTAAAAGGAAAGCTTAGATAAATCAGAATGATATGTAATACAATCTGTTAAACGTTGTTTTTTTTTTTTTTGTCTGATTTTAAGAGATGAAGAATAAACATATTGTCATTACATGTCTTTATGAAGCTGATAATACCTGAGCTGTAGTATTAACTTTGTGCACATCTGAAAGTATTAGAGGCCAAATATGAAACTGAACTGAAAATTTATTTTTATCTTATTTTTTCTGCAAGAAAGCTGCCACATAATAAACTTATCAGAAAACCCAGTTTGAAGTCCTCTCAGGGTTTCACGTTTGTCTTTGCAGATGTATGATACAAAGAATCATTCAAAACAAGCCTTGTAAGCATGTACTGCAAGTTGTCTCCATTTGTGTTGTACAAATGATTCCAGCTGCCACTAACATTTGACTTTATAGTACTTACTGGAAAGAAAATAATTGTTGTTTCATATACATGGTATATGAAAGCATTGAGAAGAACTAAGCAAGTGAAGGAATGGGACTTCTCCCATCCCTCCCCTCTTAAATTAGAAACTCTTGCACAGTAAAATGAATCCTCCTAGGATAAGTAATGCTCACATGTATTGGAAATATATGACTCCTTTGTAAATATAGTCTGAGCTAACTTACAGATAACCACTTCTCCTATTACCAAAATGCTAAGGATTACAAACACGGCATTGAGACCATTCTTGGTTAAACTTGTGACACATAAGTCTCAGGAAACGTTTTCTCCTTTCACATCAGCTTGATAGCACTTTTGTTTTGTCCTCAAGGTGAGGAATCGGGATGCAAAACAATGTTAAACAATGAGACTTCTGAAGTGAACCTACTTCTCAGGGCAGTACCTTAGTCAGAGCTGCAATTCTCTGAGCCAGCTCAGCCTCCACTTCGGGTAAAGTTTCAGCCTTCCTCATCGTCTGCTGCAGCTTCTGCTCAGCCAGCTCTAGACGCTCTTGCAGCTGTCTGTTTTTGTCTTCCAACTGAAGGTCAAAGATAGATAAACAGGTATGAAAAAAAAATCAGAATTGAGATTTTCTTTCAGTTTCTTAGGTATTGGGGAAGTGATCGAAACATATTACACGGGCATATATACTCCACAACCTGGGACAGCTTATTGGAAAGGTATTAACTCAAGTAAGGAACAGTGCAGGCTGCCAATCTTACTAATGATGAGTGATTTGAAGCTCAAGGATCATATGAAGGTAAAGAAAAGGAGTTGTAAAATGGCACTAACGAAGATGAACAAAAAGCTCCTCTGATCAATGAGTTGTTTATCTGAGCAAAATAAAAGTGCCTGTAAAATAAGAATTTTCTAAATTGAAATATTGAGTCCATCTCACAGAAAAGTTTATGTATGAGCTAAAATGGAAAAGAAGTACAATTCTAAAAGGATAGATTTCCCAGCAAAGTTTCTGAACAAATTGTCAAATGTAATTTTCTAAACAAATCCCAATCATATATTAGGAAATGTTAAAATGGACATTTCTTTCATCGTCATAAACTGGTTGCTATTTGCTTAAGGTTGTAGTGACATCGTTCATTGTGAACCTACAATTAAGTTTCATTTTACAGAAGTAAAATTGTTTAATCTATGATAATCATTAAAGAGAAACAGGAAGACTTTTGATAACTGCAGTATTTTCTGGCCTACTGAGAAGCACCACATGATTAAGAATTTTTTAATGGCTTGATAAGTGTTTCCTGCTTTCCTGTTCATTGCAGGTAACAGAAGACATAATGAAAAAGGAATGTACTTTTAAATTCTTTTTTAATCCTTTGAAAGCATGAAAAAGTAGGCTTTTCACATAGCAATATTGCAAATCAATTTTAAGTCTGCCTGTGCATAGTCAAAGCATAATTCTACTCATCACTACTTTGAGCAGAAAAACCTTGGCAGCACAGTATAACATAAGTTGGGGGTAATAACAACTCAGATACAGACACCTTACTTTTCCATTGTAGGGTATTGGTTTTTTTTTCTAACAATTGAAGATACCTCTTCAAATAGTCAAAGGAAGCTGGCAGCTTTCCCTGAAGAGGTATTCACATACATATATATACATACACATACAGAAGGATGGGTGCATGTGAGTGTAAATATATCTGCATACAACCATAGAAACAGAGATTATCAGATCATACAGGCTTATTTCTCACATAGCATTTTATATTGTTTGAAGACATGATGGATGAAAAAAAATAAAGCAGTCTGAGGCTGAGGAGCAATTTTAACTTTTACAGTTTGAATTATATTCATTTCATGTTAGCTTTCAGTTCACATTGTAGTCTTCAAATTACGAACCATTTTTTTCTGTTTACTTGACACTTCAGCTTTTGGAATCACTGTGGAAACAAAGTACCATGAGAGAAAACTGCACAATCATGTTATAGTCTTTTCTAAAAGATATTCAAGGATCATTGGGCTTTGTAAAATTTTATTTACACTGTGAAATCATTAGAATCTATTGTATGCAAATTTTGATCTTTCCTGCAGAAGGGCATTTTTTTTGCTTAAACTTTTTTTAAAATTTTTTGTTTAAATATAAAATTCAGAAAATCATTACATAAGAAGCAACAATAATCCTTTACTTAGGGACATGATGATGTGCATTTGTGCAAAACACTATCAGAAAACAGTTATTTTACAATGTCGAATGTACACATCGATTTGGTATCCTCAGTTGTAGTAGCTGATATGAAGCTTAGAGATGCTGAATAACTTGGTTTTTTTTAGATTAACTGATCTGTTGATTAAAAATAAACAGATTAACCTATCAGAAACCTCCTACTATAGATCTGCTCCCCTTTTTGCATTAATTTTCACTGAGTATGAAGAAAGCAACTGACTAATGCAGATACTGCACCTGACGTAGGATGGCTTCCTTGTTTGCAAGTTCATTTTCCAGCTTATCGTTCATGTCATGTATGGAGGTGGATTCTCTCTGTGCACTGAGGTAGCGCTTCTCCAGTGTAGTTATTCTTTCTTCCATATCTTCCTTTTGTGCCATTGCCTAATGTGACAACAAAAACCCCATCAAGAACTGTGCAATCAAAATGCTACATAATTTTATACTAGTTTTATTCTCATGCTAACAATAGACAGGGATGTAAGGTATACTCAGTAGTAATCTTTCTCTTTTAAAGATAATTTATTTCCTTTGGTATTTCTTGTAACTGATATTTAAAGTGGTAGCTGTTGAGTAAAGCAAACAGAAATGATCCTCATCTTTTGTATATTTTCTAATTTCTATATTTTTCAGTGCAAAAAACATCGCAAACACATTTACTTGTTTGCTTCTTAAACAGCTGGTTTGATCAGAAAGTAGAAAAACTGATATAGTTACATAATCAGAGAAACACAGTGCAGTGACGTGGGGAAAATATGTACGTGCACATTTCTACTCTTATTCCTGGGTCCTGCTAAAGTTTTCTGCCAAAGTACATGTAGCAGAAAGCAGGTGACATGCCCTGAAATTTCAGGAAAATGTGACCACAATGCTGGATACATTACAGAATCATAACATATGGGTATGTTATCCATATATATTATGGATAAGGATTTCTTTAAAATCTTGAGCTGTTTTTATTCATGTATTACAAGTTGACCTCATTGAAGTCAATAACTGTAATTTAGATAGATTATTAAGTAGTCTATTACATTGTTTATTCCTCTTCAATTACTCTTAATAAAACCAGAAAATATTATCAGTTTTAAACTTGTGTCTGTCTCTTTAGAAGACGTACATGTTGCCATATAATCTTTCACAATGAAAATATTTCTGATGAGCATGTCTTGTTTGTGTTATATTACATTAAGAAAGCAGTGTTGAAGTAAGTGAGATTATTTTTCAAGAAAGATACAATGAACACATAAACTGATCCAAATAGCTAGTCCTAAACTGGACTATATCCAGGTGATCTCTTTGCATATTGCTGGAAAAAAAAACCACTGTAAAAATAGTAATACATATGGCATTCATTAAAAACGCACAGGAAAAAAAACCAATAATTTATCCATGTTACACAATACTAAGCTACTCTGTCTCAGGCATTTAATTTTCTGCATTGGGAAGATTATCTTTTGTGGTCGTATGAAATAATAAAGACAGGCACTTCCACCTTCACAAATATCTTTCACAACAGATTTTTCACGGAGACTTGGTAATTATTCTACATGCAAATGTATCAGTGGCCACTTTGCTTAGGAAGCAAAGGGCTGAAAGCAAGTGAGCCTGTAGCCGGTGTAACGTGGTATTGAAGGCAGAAACAGTAAGTGGCAATTAAGCATCCATACAACAGCAATATATGCCAAAAGGTAAATGAGAGTGGAGATATTAGAGACCCCTAGTGATATAATGTAGCAGTGGTGGAAGAGGAGAAACACCAGTGCAAATTATTTTTTGTAACCTGATAAAAATGATTCGATACTTAAAAAGTGGCAGAGTACAAAGACGTGAAGACACTTTAAGGCTGTGTGAGGCATCAGAGTTCTGAAGAAACATTTTGTCCATAATACTAGAAATAAGAGGTTAAATAAATTCACACACACACACATAATTCCATATGAAATATCTATATTGTAGAAAGGAGTGTATCAGAAAGATAACTGCTCTAATTTCAAAATATTACAATAGATTCTATAAGCCAACTATCCACATATATTGAGCTTCACATAGGAGAAGATATTCTGGAGAGTACTAAGGAGCACCACAAATTTAAAGAAAAGAAAAATTGAAATATATTTCCATTTTTTTGAGAACAGGGAATAGCATATTGTAACAGGGGTAATGATGTTGCTACACATGAGTAAATATTATAATTGATTATGTAAATAACACTGTTTTATAAAACAGCCAAGGAATTTTAAAATGTACTTTAGACTATCTACATGACCAGCATCTCTGTTTAACAGAGTTCATCTTAAAAACTTGAAATAGCTGAAAACCTGTGTTATAGCATTACTAGAGTGTCTTCTGGCAAAGGAGTTGGCCTTCTTCCTGTTGCAGTTGTGCATATACACACCCACTTTTACGAACACAGTTTTATAAAGAGATTTCTAGTACTTGTTCTTAACGTAAATTTTGTGTTTCCTATGTACAAGAGCTTTCATGGGCGCTCAACTTTTGCTTCCCATATTCATTGGCCTCTATCAGTTTGTACTGGGTATCACAGGAATAGCAGTCAAGAAATAGGAGGTGAAAGTGGTTAACTCCTTACCTCCCTAATGTCTCTCTGATATTTACTGTTCATTTCTTCTGTTTTAATTAACTCCTTTCTGGCAGTCTCTGCTTCCTGCTCTACCTCTCCCACTCGGGAAGACAGTGCAGCCAAACGCTCCTTCATTTGTGCCATTTCATAGTTTTGCTTTTCCAGTAGTTCCTGAAGTTCAACAACTTGACTGGCTTCATCATTTGAGTCTATGGAGCCATTGGACAGGCGCTGTTAACAGAGAAGTGACATTATTTATTAATTATCTTTTGATGTGGACTCTATGTAAAGAATTTCTTTAAAAAAAAAGATTGTTTTAAAAATTACAAAAGAAACTAAAAAGAGAAAAACACAATAATTTTCATGGTAGATATGACAGATGTAGTTGCGGAGAAACTGTAAAAGAGTAGAATTAATTCACATAAAAGGATTCCAGAATGTAACATCACAGAGAGAAGTACACGTCTGCAGAGCAGAATACTATACAAAAAAAGCTTTAGTTTGACATTATGGCTATTCAAGTACAAATTGCAACAATATGACTCCTAAAAAGCACCAAATTGCAGGTATGCACCTGAGTTAAACTTACACAGCATTTAAACTTAATCCAAGTCTATTTCACTTGCAAAATAGGCCACACTGCAGACAGAAAGCAACAGTGATAAATTACAAATTCACTGTACCAGAAAGTGCTTAGAGTCTGGACAACACAATGGCTAAGCCTACATTAGAACCAAGTTCTGCTGAAGTAGTTTGTGTGCTGCTGAAAGCCCTGGTATGAATATAGCTATTAAAAAAAAAAAAAACCACCAAAACTAAAGCCCAGAAACAACTTATTGTATTTGGAATATGATCTCAAGAATATATGTGGCAGATATAAATGTAAATAAATTATTTCAAGAAAGAATTGTGTTCACTAGGACTTGATGGCATTGCCTCATTACAACAGACAGTCACACTAGCCTTTTCCAGCATAAGCTAAGACACAGTTTTATACAAAGTCAACTATCTCGTGTCAAAAAAATAAGCAAAAAGAACAAGCAAAACCAAAACGATTTGATTTTGACCTGTAACATCAAAAATTAAAACCAAAGTATTCCAACCTGTCATTAACTTTCTTGATTAGGTGCAATTTTATTGGTCAAATTTTTATTATGCAGTATAGGAACAAAGTATGTCACTGTAACTGTCACTTCAAATAAGACATAGATCTTGGAGAGCATCATACAAGAATGTTTGTCCTAAAAAGCACTTATTGTCCTTCAAATGGTAGGGTGTATAGCAATGTATATATGAAATATTCCTAGCAAGATCTGAGAGGAAACCAAGCTTGCCTTCATTAGCACTTCTGTATTATTATTGTCAAAACATATTTATACAGAAATCTAGCAAATTCAAAGAACATTACTTTGTTTAATGGCTTTAACGACATTCTTTCCCCCATCAGCCATAAAATGAACCCAGATCAAAACCACCTGCCCCTCTGCAGACCATTGAATAAAATTATTTTACTCTAAAAATTCATTACATCAAATAACAGTTCCAAAATTGCTTTCTTTATACTAGTTAATCATATTATCTTGACACTTTATGTTAGCTGCTGAATCATCGTTGATCTACTTTCAGGATACCATGGTAAAATGACAATAGCAATTTAAAAACTTTTTCATGCTCAGTTTGTTGTTTGGAAAGTGTGCAGTTAGTCTACTTGAATCTAAGTCCCATTAGCAGGAAGCAATCACATATGTAAACACAACAGTACTCAAACAGGACAGAACATTCTAACCATCATTCTTTAGTCTATTCTGAAAATTAAAAATAACCCTTTTTATCTAGGATTATTATAATCTGTTTGATAGTTTTAATCTCATGCAGCAATTTTAGTAGTTGTCACAGACTAATAAATTTTACCAGGCATTGACTTTGTCCTACAATTCTCTACATAGTGGTCCAGGAATTGCTGCAAGGTTATAATAAGCCAAATAGCAATTCTGAAAAGCAATAAATGGCATGTGATCATATACCTTATGACATATAGACAGTGTTCATTTTGAAACGATAAGCTTTGATATCTCGGAGTATGTCCAATGGGAGAGAATTTTCTTTTTCATTAATACATTTTTTTCCTAAACAACCAAACAAAAAAAAAAAAGTGAAAAATATTTTTTGACTAATTTATGTAATATCTGAGATTTATGCAAAGACAAATAAAAAAGTATTTAGAATTAATCCAAATGCTATGATTGTCAATTATTCATGTATATATTTCGATTTATGCACATAAACTTCCCTCATAATTCTTTGATGAGCTCTTTTTACAAGCTTCATTATTTCTACTCATTGTTCACTATTGTTTTAAATTTTTCTGTATTCATTCACAGACCTGGTTGCTATTTAAAATTTCCAACTTACAATAAATGTCAACATTATGATTATTCTTAGTACAAGTGGGATAAAGTTTTCTTTCAAAATACTATTAAAAATAAAAAGCTGAAAAAATGGTATTTTTAGAATTTTGAAGCATATTTTAAAATTTTACCCAGGGATTTTAACTGGCATTTTGTCAATTTTATGCGTTGCTATTATTTTATGTCCATTATACGAGTACATCACATAGAGTAATCACTCTAAAAGACGACAAATAAAAAGTTATTAAACATTAATTCCAGGAGTAACTGACATAACATTCCTCATGTTCTCAGGAGGGATTTACCAACAGTTTTATGGTTATACTTCCCCTCTCTCCCCCCAAAAAAAAGTTTGAACAAGAATGTGAAAATATGATATGCCAGTAGAAGCAAAAGGCATTCTGTAGATGACGCTGATTCAAATATATCTTCTAATGTAGTGAAAGGAGTAGGAACCTCCCATGCCCCAGAGGAATTCTCTATGGAATAAGCAGGGGGACAAAACTGCAGCATCTTCTTTATCACTGGTTGTTGTGGGTTTTTTTAACCTGGTTGAATTTTTTTGTGCTGAAATATTTCCTGGTACTCAAAGAGGTTCCTGTCAATGATGCTATGTATTAATCACAAACCATTTGTTAATAAACAATTAGTTAAATGCTCATAATAATGAAATCTAAGTTTTTAACAGATCTCTGTTAATTATTGCCAGAAGCACTAAGGGAAATCTTCTCAAAAAAGCATGCACAAAAGAAGTTTCAAAATAGACATTCCTAACTGTCATATCCATGCACTACCCAAAATCCCCAACATATGCAGGAAATAGTGTCAAATTACTACAAAGGGAGAGGGGAAAGAAAGTACTAAAAGTAAGATGAAACAATTGGGAGGTCTTTAAAGGAGAGCAGGAACATTAAAGAAAACTTTCTAACTGGTTGAAACATTCTAGCAAGAGAAAATGAAAAATGTACATGATACCCCGATCCGGCTTACAAGTTAGTCATCCAGATAAAGTCTTGAGCAAATTTCACAATGCTGTCTATCAAATGTGGTTGTGAGAAAGCTACATATGGACACATTCCTTAATTTCAATAATTTCACATAACAGTATCTACTAGCAATGGCTATTTTGTCTTGAAAAAAAGGACGTGGCAAATAGCTGACATGCTCCAATGCTTCACTTTTTTTTTTTACTGACTAGTTTATCCAAGAAAAGTCCATCTGTTTCTATCACGTTTACTTATTTAGACCACAATACTACAGAAATGGTATCAACATATATTCTTGACTTAATCTTTTTAGCTTTCTACTGACACAACAGGTACCACAGCTGCAATGTGTGCACGCCTGCTACACACACCATAAGGGTCTCTGCCCTCTCCTCCTGCCCCCTTATACAAATTTCTCAGCCACATGAGAAATCTGGTTGGCATCAGCCTGAAAGTCCTAATACAACCTTAGATGTCTTTGCTTGGGCTAGTTCAGAGCAAACAAAGGTAAATGAGCAAATACATCCGTACCCAGCAATGTTGCACTCTGGGGAGAATGAGGGAAAGTGCAATGGCAAGAGGAACACCTGCTGTGGGTTTTTTTATTGTTTGTTGTTTTTTTTTTTTTGTGATATAGCACCACATACTAGATAAATAACTGAGAAATCACTGTCCATACTAAGGATTTCAGAGACACTCTTACTTCATAAAGAAAGGTTTAACACTCGCCTAAATATAGCAAAACAAGTTAGGAGGAGAAACAGAAAAGAGATAAAATAAATGTCAAGTAAATCCTATGACAGTGATGGTATTAACAACAGAGGCAGCATACTGTGGAGGAAGTCAAAGCTTAAAAATATCCTATAGGACCAAGTGCCATAAAGGGTAATATGGATTAAACAAGAAATATTCAGGGGGTGGTGGTGGGGGAATATTTGAATTGCTTATGGCGTGTGGAAACAGAGGAGGGAAATAAATGTTCATGTTCCCTTCTGCTGAACAGTGTGAAAGGGAAACCAACATCCCTGGTATCAGATTTTCTTTTTTTCATGATCAAAAAAGCATAGCACTAAGACAATCTGTTGCTTGTTTTTCAGCAGGAAGGGCAGCAAATTGGAGTGTTACACATAACAATAAATCCCCCTAGACCATTGCTTCTCTCCTTCATCCTCTCTGCCATGAAATAATAAAAGGAAAACAAGCCACAGATAGTTTATCAGTAAAAAACAAGAACAATGGTAAAAGAAACACCAGGAGCAAGTGTAAAACAAGACTAACTCAGAATATTGCAGCCTCTGTTAATCCATTTCATATTGCCCTCTCAATTCAAAGCCTTAGCAATAATACTGCAGGCAAATTGGGTGGAGGAAGGGAAGTACACTTAATTAAAAAAACCAAACAAACAAACAACAGAAAACAAGTAAGGACACTAGACTACAGCAGTTGGCAAAGAAATTGTAAAATTGTCCCAGTCTATTTTGAAGAAAGAACCTTACAGTAAACTACATATAGTAAAATACACACAGGAATCTAATTTTATAAAGAACAGTAAAAAGCACCTCCAAGTGAGATTTTTTGCACCCGCTGTAAAACATCTGACACAGATATGTTTGGTCTAAATACTATCAACCAGTAATTAATTACATATTTTGTGCTAGAATTTAACCTCAGAGAATGGTGAGAAGGTAAAAAAGAATATCTCACAGTGTTACTTCTGAACAATCAGCAGTGGAGATAGCATTCATTTACATGATAAAACTCCTCATTGGTGTTTCTCAGTTTGTGGTAGCACGAGTGCAGGAGATTCACGTGGTGCCCATGTACATAAGCATTTCCA